TCTAGATTGTGAGATTTGCTTTTCTTCCTCCTGCTTCAAACAATTATATACCTATCTAATATTTTTCCAGATGTGCTCATTTATTTACCATTTTTACTCAAATATGTAGCATTTCCTCCTTCTTTTACTAAATCATAATTATGAGTAGTTTTGTCAATGGTCCATATTAGATTTTATGTCATTCATATATTCAAATGTGTATACTGCTTTGTGTACATTTTTCTCATTTGAAAAAAAAACATCATGTGTTCTTTATACTAAAATCTTTTTGTAACAATCTGTGGAGGGTGTGAAAAGACTGCTTTTGCCATTGACATTCTTTTCTATCCAAAATTCAGTACAAACTGGCCTAATCCTCTCCTCCTGGACTTGACTGAGTATTAGAACTCACCACCAGATATTCTATGGTCCAAACATGAGAATATTTGAATATGAATCTAAAAGAACTTTCAAATGCAATTTTATGTGAAGCATGATTAAAAACAAATAAACCACATGTTAATCTATATACATAATAAAAGTGAAAAATATGTATATGTATATGTGGCAGAGATATCCACTTACACAGACAGCCTCCTGCCTCCACAAACAGGCTATATTTCCAAGTGCTGAGAAGCCTCCAAGGCACTCCCTCAACTGACATTGCAGGTTATAGCGAGCACCATTAACATGTAGCCCAAATGCTGTCAATGTCCTCCACAAGTACTAAAGCCCACTACCCAAGGAATGCTTTCATTTTGGGACAATTTCATGCTAGATTTTAGGTGTTAGCTCCACCACAGGCAGGCATCCCAGGTCTCCTTTCTCTCTGTGTTGGTGTTAAATTTGCATGACCCCACCCACTGCCTCTCCTTTAACCCTTTCCTACTCTTTTCAACTCTGTCTTCATAACAAACAGAGCAGAACCGAGCAGCAATTGCATATACTTGAGAGCTTGGGGGACCGACTCCACATCATAGAAGTTGTAGTTCAACCTGCATCAAGTTGGAGCACTGTGACCCCCACTGACAATGGACCTGGCCAGGACCACATTTGGCACACAGGACCCCCATGACCAATGAAAAATATTGGAGATGTTTGGGGGAGAATTCACCTTGATTTATAGCCATTGTAGGTACTGGGATTTATAGTTCACCTACAATCCAAGAGCACTCTGGACCCTACCAAAGATGGCCCTGGACCTAACTTAGCACACAGAACCCAAATGACCAACACACAATGCAGGAAGGCTTTGGGGAAAATTCACCATGATTTATAGGAATTATGGTTCACCTACACCCAGAGTGCACTGTAACCCAAACAACAATGGATGTGTATCAAATTTGGCACGCAAATCCAATATGCCCAAATTTGTATACTGGTGGATTTAGGTTGTAATTGGCCTTGATATTTGTTAGTTGTAGGTATTGGGATGCATAGTTCACCTGCAATCTGAGCACTCCGAACCCCACCAATGATGGACCTGGACCTAATTTGGCAGAGAAAACCCTCATGATCAACTGAACATATTGGAGAGATTTGGCAGAACTGACCCACCATGGTGAGAGTTGTAATTCATCCTGCAGCTGGAGAGCAGACTGAACTCCACCAAGAATACATCTAGAGCACATTTGTCCAACTTGACAAACTTTAAGTATTGATAGAGTTACAGGAAGTTAACCTGGCATGATGGGAGTTGTAGTACACCCACAACCTTATACATTTTGTAAAATACAAAAAAATGACTTCTTTTAATAACCCAAGCGATGCTGCATACTCAAGATAGTATAGAATAAAAGTGGAAGTGACTCATTGGCATGCCAACAGACCATGAATTAAAAATAGTTTTTTCCATTCATCTTTGTTCTCAGTAGTTGTTGCAAATGTCTCCAAACTTGCAAAAAAAATAGAGGCTCAAATGACTTAATTTTGAAAATTGTAGTGCTCCACTCCATATGTCACTCTCCTGTGGCTATTTTTATTCACTTGAAAGAGTTTCCAGAGTTTTAGCCCCTGTGACCCAGCTGCTTGAAGAGAAGGAAGGAGAAAGGCTCTCTACAATATTTTCTATGCATAACTGAGATGAAATTAGTCAAGTGTAATTTTTAAACTCTTTAGTATAATAGGAGCTGTGAAATTGTTCCTTACCCAATCTCTTTAAAATGACTACAGTAAATGCTTCAAATTGTCTCATGGAACACAATGTGGTTTTTAAGTGCTTTTTAAATGTATGAAAATCTAAGCAATTAAGGAGCAATTACGCAGGAATTAAAGTGCCAGCGCAATTAAAATGCATATAACGCATAAGTCTGTCAACAATCCTTGATTCCTCTGTCCGTTTGCACTTTCTTGTGGAGTCCCTAATTCCTATTTGTGAGATGCCAAGCTGCAGGAAAATACTTGTGTCTACTGTGAGGTTCCGATCTCTTCTGAAAACCAATTACATTAGCATTATTTGCAGAACAAAATTATATTTAACATGAAAAACTATTTTATTTAATATGGAGGGGGGATAACAAATTTACTTCAAACTTGCTATCACGCCACACTTGGTTCAATTAAAATGAGATCAGATTCAATCTCAATTAGATTTTGAGGTAGAAAAAGCAATATAGATTCTGTTTTTAGATCATAAGAGAGGAGACAATTTTGCATTGCAATAACATAAAGAATAAAGATTATTGAAAGCAGGAAAAATTAATCAATGGTATAGCAAAGCAGTTCAGACATGGAAATACATCACTCACTAGCTTTCAGGTGAATTAGATTAACTGGCAACATTAAAAAGCATTGTGTTTTGGGTAAGCATCCCTTCAAGGAGCCCCTAAGAGTTTTACAATAACAGGCCGTATAAATGCAGGGTGTTTGTCTCTGATTTGTGAAAAGCTGCAATGGAAGATTTCTGCACACCTAGTTAGTCATCAGGTCAGCTTGGGATTATTTATTATTATTTTATTTTTAAAAGTATTACTCACAGCCCACAAGGATTCATGAGTTGATGAGTAAATTTGGACAACTGACTGTCTGCTAAGGATGGTGCTTTTAATGTGTGAAAGCTATGAATTTTTGATTGGTATACCTTTTTTATATTTATGAATATTGTGTATATCACTTAATTGTCTGACAGCTGCAATAAAGGCTATTGTTAATATTATAAGTTCCTTAATTATGTAATACATTATTATTGATACCTGGTTGTTGTTGTTTTTTCATCTTCTAGTGCGCTGCCTGAAGTTCCAGCTACATGCCTTCCATCTATCCTGTTTGACAGGGTCAGCCCTGACTCATTCTCTATCATCCCACATTTTATGTCACATTCTCTCTCTTCTCTGCTTTCTTCCTTTGTCTTCAGCTTATTTCAATTACTGTAAACTGATTTCAAAGGACAAAAGTAGTTTGTGCTCAATGAACATAACAGGGGAGAGAGCAGAGGGTATAGGCTCAGGCAAAGGCAAACTGCAGCACCCTCTCTTAGTTTTTATGTTTTTCCTCTTTAATAATTTTTGCCATATTGTCTACATTCTGATATTGTTTGTCCATATGTGTCCCTAAATCAAATCCCTCAACTTCATCCCAAATGTATTCCTTTTCAGCATTAATCAGTTGAATGGTGCTTGTTTGCTATCTTATCTCTCAACTTTTGTATCCAACACATTCCTCTCTCATTTCCAAATTATGGTGACCCTCAGGGAAAACTATAACAGAGGGTTCTTGGCAAGATTTCTTCATAGGTGATATTCCATATACATTTCTCTGATACTAAGATAATGTGATTTGCCCAGGTCACCCAGTTTCCACAGGTGATCTGGGCCCATGGACACCACTAGATCATGCTGGCTCTTACCATTAACACTAGGGCCATGTCTACATTAAGCAGGTTACCCTGGTGTATATCTGCCTTGAAACAACTTTGATCCAATATGTATGTGTTGAATTCAAGGCTAGTGTCCAGATAAAGATTAGGACAATATTGCCCTCACTGGAACATCACCACATAGCCAAGAAGTAGGAGGTAGATCAAATCTTACCCCAGTTTTCCATCAGCACATGGAACCATAACAGCCAGGTGGTCACTGTGAGCTCTATGGTGAGCAAAGAGCAACAGCAATGAGATGAAGCTTCTCCTGTATTAATAAAAGTGTGATGGTGGTAGTGTCCATCTGGACTGGAAACCAGACCAAAACAGATCCAATCCAGCTATTCAAACAGTTGCAAAGTCTATAAATTCTAGATAATTATCTGACTTTTCAGGACAAAGGGCCCTTCTACACAGCCTTATATCCCAGAATATCAAGGCAGAAAATCCCACAATATCGGCCTTGAACTGGGTTATCTGAATCCACACTCAGATAATGTGGGATTTTCTGTCTCGATATTCTGGAATATAGGGCTGTGTGGAAGGGCCCAAAGTGAAGTTAAGGCCAGGCAATATGGGATACATACCATAAGTTCCTCTGTGTTGTGAAGACTGCCAAAGCTAGAATCAAGATGGGTCTGGCTTTTTTCATCTGTATAGACAAGCCCCACAGCAAGATTATTAAACAGGCCAAAAAGTCTCTGATCTAAAACTTGTGATTTTCATCACTATCACTAACCTGGACCGAGGCTAAAAATGACAACTATTATGATGACTTCAGAAAACTTTGCTTAAAAAGCAGGAGCATCCATCACCTTAAAAAGGCAAATATATTTTATTAAAAGAAGAACTATTATACCATGAGTTTGGATTTCTATATTAAAATGAATGTTCATAAAGTGATCCATTAAGCACACTGGTTTCTTTCAAGTGAGACAGGAATTGACATATTCTGCTGTAAAGTATGGAAAGCCATATTTAGGGACATGTTATTACAAACCTTTTAATCCAAGTGTCTAATTTGCTTTTAATAGTGTAGTGTTCTGTTTTGTATTTTGTCTTCAAATTGATTTGTTTTAAAGATTTTTTTTAATTTTATTAATTATTTAACTATAGTTTCACAAAAACCTTTATAAAAGTTTACTTATGTCTTGGCAAGTGCTTTTAACTTTGTTTCAATTTTTGTAAGCTATCTTGGAGCTCAGTATGATGGAAAGCTGAAAAAATATACATTTTTCCTATTGCAAAGAGGGAAGAAAGAGTAATGAAGCCCATCTCAGTCTGTATGCACAAAATCTCTCAAATTGTTGCCTTCATGGGATTCCTTATTGTTTATGGATTGCCTAGGTACTACTTTGTTATTGGGATGAAAGTCCCTTCCCCAAAGCAGTTAACAGGATTGAAAACTCATAAATAGCTACAAAAGTTATAAGATATTTAGGAGATGGAAATTCATACATTGAAAGGCTAACAGAACAGATGAGGTTGCCAAACTAGAAAAAAGAAATACATAAATAAGACAGAGTGTACAGCCTTAATTCTCACCCTGTTTCCCTACCCTGTGATTTATTTACATGCTAAGGGCATGGAGTGCTCTCTGGCATAATATGCCTAAACCCAGAGGTGTTGTAGGTGCCTACGAAGCCCCAAGGCTTAATTTATTCCCTATTATGTAGTAGCCTAAAGTGTCCAGAAAAATAGATTCAGAAAATGACCTCTAATCACTAGATTACCTATAATTTCCTTCATATTCTAGGTAAGAGTCATAAACACTTGTGTTAATGTATTTTCCTCCTTTCCTTCCTTGAGTTTTTAATCTTCTTTATTATAATAGTCACCATGGGAGACCATCTATTTCAGCTACTGATGGGCAAGTTCCACCTTCCCCCTGCTCCCATTAGATTGGCTAGGGAATGAGCTGAATAATTTTTCTGCAAATTCAGAAATAACTTGGTCTTTTTCTTAAAGCCAAGCCAACATTTGAAAGTTGCTTATATAGTCCCCTGTTTCCTGACATCTCTTCCTAATTCTGAAGTACTTTTTACTTCTTCTGATATAAAATGTTCATACCCACCCAATGACTCAAATTCCAACATGCCAAGATTCCCCATATGAGCTGTTCCTTAGAAGAATGGAAATGTAGGGACAAATGAAGTCTAGGGCATTTGTGGTTTAATTGCCACCACTTACTGAATAGGTTAACTCTTCAGTAGCCTAGATATGAATTCTATGTGTGGAGTGTAATCATAATAAAATGAATTCCTTAGACGGAAGCATACAAGGAATGTTTCCCAAAATGTTAAAATAAATCACTGCTCTTGGAAGTTTCCAATACTAGAGATTTTACTCTAGAACAAGCTTTGCCTCCACATCTTGTTCTAGCATTAAATATGACTACCTTGTAAACAGTGACATTCCTATCCCACTTTCATGTTTATGTGGGGAGAAATCTTCTACATACTCTGGGACTTACAATAATGCCCCTTGAAACCCAGACTTTGTTACAGTATATACATGTATATGACTAAGTTTCTGTAAGGATCATCTCCTATGTGTGTGTGTGTTGAGGAAAAACACCTGGATAATTGAAGCAATTAAGTTTGAACTACTCCCTGAATGGAGTATAACATGAGGAGTGTTACTAATGGATTTTGGAACTTACTGAACCACTTGCTTCAAGACTTGTATCCTTGCACCATTGAGGAAGAAGAAGATGCATGGATTTAATGGATAGGACTTTGTGTAAGTTGTAAATGGACTGAGTTATTTTCAAAGCTGGATATTATTGTGAAGCTGCTTATTTGATTCTGTTACCTAAGAGTAATTTCTTTCCCATTTACTTGGCCCATATTTACTCTTTGTGGATGCACAAAGGGCTGGGAAGTCTGGACAGGACTGCACATTTTCTGGGTTAACTTTCGTATAAACTGCAACAGACTGCCCTGTTCTGTCTGAAACAAACTATTACATTACAAAAACATACAGAATGACAGTCATTTCAAACTTGTTTTAACTGCTTAACTTGCCACAAAGTCTTAATGCAGAGAGACTTTAGGTCTGTTTGTTTTGCAAGTGTATTGGGCACTGGAATCAACATTTATTCACTGAATCAACATTTATTTCATTGGTAAATGTAGATTTTACCTAGTTTCAAATATATTTGTTATTGAAGAAGAGGAAAAACTTAACAAGAAACCATAATTTTTAGCAAACACTGCATAGAAAAGTGAATAGCATAGAATAGTGGCCCACTGGGAATTCCCCTAATAACCTTTGGGACAAGATTTGGTTGAAGTTTGCCTGTGCAAGTAACACAACGGTCTACTAGCATCCGGATATTGGCAGGGATGAATTAAAAGTGCATCCCTACTCAGGAAGGAAGAAAAAAAAATTAAGGAGCTTAAAGGCCTTATTAAATGGATTGAAATAAAGTTGGTAATTATAAAAAGTATGGCATTGTTATTTAACCCTCACATTTCTAATTCACGGTGATGGTATTTATTCTTGTACAGGGATAATGCCGTTTGGTCAATGAAAGACAACTGTTGAGGGGACGGGAGCCATTTTTCAGTTAGGTCTTTTTGGTTGAACAGTGCAACTGGCAATTACTGTTGCTTTTGATTTCTGGATTTTGGAAGCATTTTAGACAAGAAAATTGGGGACCTATTAAGCCCATGGGCTTCCTCGTCCCAACCCCTGGGCAACATAAGAACCGAACCTTGAAAAATATTTCACTCTTAGTATTTTTTTTTAAAAAAAATGGATCCAGCCTCACACACAATAAAGTACAATTGGTAGTATATCCAGCCTTGAAGATACCTGCTGTATGGTGGTACCAAAATATTTACGAGTGTTTCTGAAATTACTCATCTAGAATTAGCTGTCCTATTAAGATGGAGAGCATTCTCTTTACAAAATTATTCACATGTTGCTTTTTTTTATTCAGCCAGCTGTGATTGTCACTTAAAATCACTATGTGCTGGCATTTATCAGTCTGTCAAGCATTTCTGACAAGAAAGAAGAAAATGATTTACAGTTAAAAAAGAATCTCATCACATGTCTACTTATTACCTCTACTAATTTCATATCAAATGTGCATTTGAAATAACAGGTTCCTTGTGCATTACTCACAGCAGGATACTTCCTTTTACTGAAACAGCTCAATGAAACATCTAGGTCAGTAGTGTCTGCATGTGGGACACAAAGAATATTTGCATTTTTTCATCATTGAGATACATTTCGATACATCAGATAAATTATCTTGTGTTACGAGAATGTTCATCCTCAAGCAAGAGTCAATGCTTTCTCCATATCATACTTTTGAAGTTATTTTCTTGCACATTAATTTGTGAAAAACATTTTACACAAAATTCAATTATTTGGTACAAAAATTATTTTGGTAGAAAGTCTCCAAATGTATAAAATCACTGGAAAATCAGCACATCTTCTCTTAAACATGCCCAGTGGAGATAAATAATTTGAAAGCTTTCTCATGTGTGAGAGGGGGGAAAAGAACAGATTTACATTCCTAGATTTTAGAGTGGCTATGTGGTTTCAAAGAGGGAATCTGTAAATCCTACTTAGAAATGCTAAGGATTGACTCTGAGACCTGCACATAAAAATGCACTCTACTACAAAGCCAGCTAAAGCTTGGTTCACAGAAGAGCTTGAAAAGGTTACCTTTGGCTACAACTTTTACAATTCCCTATTTGGCTATTGATTCTGTGAGTTGAAATCCAAATGGTGACTTTTCTAAATACTAGTTCACCAGAAGTGTGGCCAGATCTGGCTTCTTAAGGAATGGCCACAGTTGGTGCATCTCCTAGGATAGACTTGCTCTTGCCATTCATCATTCTGTTTAGAGAACAGGATGGTTTCTTTTTTTATGAGTTATGCTAGACTACCTGTGGATAACCTGACCTATGTTTTTGGAGTTCATTTTTATTAGAATTTCTAGATTTACACATAAGTATATATGGTATATGGCTTACTCTTGACCAATCATGATAGCCTTTAGACAGTGGATGTCCCTGTTGATTGGGATATGTTTGAATGGTTCAGCAGTGCTCTACTCTTTGTTGGGGTAAGGAAGGTTGACATTATATACTGTCACTATCCCACACCATTTTCATGATCAGGGCTAGTCACACTTCCAGTTAGGGGAAAATCTCCCTCCCCCCCCCCCCACTTTCAATTCTGCCATTCTGGTTTTTTTTTCCCCCGTTCATCTACTTATGATATTTCAGTAAAGCAGCTTTGCAATTTCAACAAGGGTTGTTATACGTTTTTCGGGCTGTATGGCCATGTTCCAGAAGCATTATCTTATGACGTTTTGTGTGCATCTATGGCAGGCATCCTCAAACCAATTTCAGCAAGGTTTAGTGGAGGAAAATGAGAAAAGTGAACCACTTTGAGTCGCCTTCAGGCTGAGAGGGGCAGTATATAAGTGTAGTAAGTAAGTAAATAAATAAATAAATGACAAAGCCTTAAGTCTGTAAATTCTGCAAGGGTAGAATGAGAGACAAGGACACCCCCAACATCTGATGTTATTTCTGTGCATGACAACACAGAAGCAGATTGATCATATCACATACGGTAAGTGTTTGGGCTGTGGCACAGGTTAGAGTATTCCCATCAATCATAGAGGATGGGTTTGTTGCCCAGACCTGGCAGAGTAGCAATGGGCTGCACATGGCATAGTAAGATAGGAACCATAGCCAAAGGTGACAGTCCTACTTCAATACTGGTGATACCTCCATGCAATAAAGTCATTTGTGAAGCACAGTATAATTTTCTGCTTTGGTATCAAAGTAGCAGCAATCTGGGAGACAGAACAGAGAGTATGATATTATAGCTGTTAGGCCATTTTTATTTTAACATCACATAAATTGTTGTGATTATCGGCCTTACTCATCCCCAGCCTGATATCTCATGCAAACCAGCATACTCTTGTGTTTTTCATACATGTCCTTCTATTTTAGACACATTCATAGTAATCCATTTTGAGAATCCTTCATTTCCATTTTTCAGTGTTGATTCTGATCAAATCAGTTTGAAATCCTCAAATGGTTACTCACTTAGTAATATTCTAATGACGTGAGTGCATGGCAACTAGTGGTATAAAATGCAATTTAAGCCAGCATGCCAAAAAGTAATTGGTGGAAGCATTCCAGAAATAATTAAATTCGATGAATAGCTGTTAATAAGGTTTTTACTCAGTGATTCACATCCTTCACCACTTTCTCCCTTCTCTGTTAGCAACAGAATTCTCCCTAATGAATTAATGAAACAGACAAGATAAAACAATATAAATGGAACAGAGAAAGATTCCTATTAAGTGATACCAGTTCCAAAGACTTTGTCCAATAATCTCACTTAAAAAAATCTTTCCCCCCTTTTTAACTTTCCCTTTTTTGCCAATGTATTTTAAACCTAGAGCAAGCGACAGCATGGCACATAACAAAGGACAGGGGAGAAATTCTTTATATTGTGTAGAAACACTTGTTAAACTTTCAAGAGAGCGGGATAAATCTTGCCTCAGAAATCCATGTATTTATTAGGTTTGCAATTCATTTTTAAAGGGAAATGTGCATTAAATTGCATGCAAACTGTAAAGGTGTGTACAACTGAAAAAGGTGCTCTGAATAGGGCTGGGTGGTTTCGTTCGTTAATTTCGTAATTCGTTATTAATTCGTTTTTTTAATAACGAAGCGATATTGAACCATTCAGGAGCAACTAAAAAACGAAACGAATTTTTCCAATTCGTTTCGTAATTGTTTCAAAATTGTTTCGTTATTATTTCGTTATTATTTCCGTATGTCTGGTGCAAGTTTTATAGTCGTTGTTTGTTTTATCAGTGATGAAAAAAAATATCACACCAACAGTCAACAACAGAGGGAGAGGGAAGCTTCAGAAGTTCCCGCTGTCCCATTTGGAGGGTTTTTTAGCGTATTACGCAATCCCGTCCGCCATTAATGAATCGATTCGTTATTGTTTCGAAATTGTTTCGCAATTTCCGAAATTTCGTAAATATCGAACTTTTTAAAAGAAAAATTTCGGAATTCTTTTAAGAACAGTCAACAATTAGAGGGTTTTTTAGCATATTGCGCAATCGCGTCCGCCATTAACGAATCGATTCGTAATTGTTTCGAAATTGTTTCGTAATTTCCGAAATTTCGTAAATATCGAACTTTTTTAAAGAAAAATTTTGGAATTCTTTTAAATAATGAAACACAAAAACCCCCTAAAAACGAATCAAATTTAGAAACAAATCTTTCCGTGGTTGGACAGCCCTAGCTCTGAACAATGCAAGGTTGTGGTTTTTTTTTTTTTTAAAAAAAGAAAGTGTTTAAAATGCACATTAGGAGGGAAAATAGGATGGCAAAGGTAGAGAAAAATCCCATAGAATGAACAAGAATACGAGTGTGAAACTGAAAAACTTTAGAATAGCAACATAGACAGATTTTTGGATCTATGGCCACAACTCAGTGAAGTCAAAATTATTGCTTCTGAGCTAATTCAGGATGGAAAGATAACATAAATGTTTATTATTACACACAAGAGAGGTTCATACCACCAACTCTGTTCTTCTATACCGAAACTGACCATCCTTCTCAAAGGAGTCACATAATGTGGATGATCATGATCAAATATCCTTACAGACATCCATGCTCAGTGTGTGAACGAATGTGTGTGATGTTGATTCAGGCACGTGAAGTTGAGTTTGGAGTCAGTTGCACAGCTCCACTGCTACTTCAATATGTGAATACTGGACACATGTACAATTTATAAATGGGACAATTTATTTCTAATAAGGTTTGTTGTCTTATTAGCTTTCATTTCACCATTTTGTTTCTGAAGCTATCAATTCAAGAGCTTGCACATACCATTTAATACAATGTCAGTTTACTTTCAAGACTTTAGCAGCTGATTTTGCAGAGTATTTCTTTTCAGCTTGACACTATTCATAAGTCAATCAGTGTTTCTTCATTGATAAGAATAAGTCCCACAGACTGTGTTGCAGACATTAGCTTACCTGAAGTGGTTATTTGCTCAGAGATTAAACCATGGCTCTCACAGTCAAAGGGCAAGTGTAGTTGATACTTTAACTAAAGAGGCAATTGATGGCAGCGTGTAACTTTGAACTCTGATGGTCTACCACAGAACTAAACAATGTATTCTCTCTTTTTTAATTGATGAAAAAAGCATGCTTTTTTAATTGATGGAAAGAAGAAGTATATTAAGATGACCTTACTATGCTACAGCATATTTTTATTGCACTTCTCTATTTGGCTGCCACTTTTCTTAGTTTTTTCTTCTTCTGCAGACAAGCTTTTCTTTGACTACTATGCATTGTGTCAATTGCATGGGAATAATATAATAGATAAAATATCATTATGTGAAGCCCACCATTATAGAATGGGAAACAATGTAAGGTTGGACTTTGTAGAAGGGGTTGAATGTTGTGACTAATATTGGGGAAATTTTTTGTATTTGTGTGGGGGTGGGAGGGAGTTATTTCCTTTTTCTATTGTAAATAAAAGTATGCACACATGTATTTGTATTGTTGCCATTCTCCATGAGAGCTGGTTCCCTGTAATCATCATAGTCAGATTGTTACAGCAGATCATGATATTAACCTTTTACTGTGTAATTACTGATTTTTTCTATCCCTGGATTAGCCACATCACTCATGTGGCTAATTCAGAGATAGAAACCCCCCTCATCAAACAGCATTTTGAAAAATATTGAGCACCAATATGTTAGCAACATGTATGTGCATAAGTATGGTATATATATGCACATGTCTCATTTTGGATTGGACACAAGAAGCTATTATATAACTCTTTGTACTCAAAACCTCTCACAAAGCAACTGTTGAGTTCTAGGAGGAATTTCTGGTACTGCTGGGCTCCCAGGGGAAGGAGTAGTGGGGAACACTCTATATGTGCACTGGGCTGCCAGGAGACTCCATTTGTAGCACATCCTTGTTTCTTTTCCCTTTGAGACCAGCTGTTTCTTTATCAACTACATTAACTTCTCCCCCTACCCATCACTAAGTACCATCAGTAGGACACACACTCGGGTTTTTCTGGTTGTTGGGGTGGGGGAAGGGAAAGATGGATTTGCACAGACAGCACACTATGCTCAGCGTGTTTGACATAGAACCTCAGACATTGTCACTGGA